ATAGATACTGGTTACTGTGGCAACTGGCAAAAATCATTGTATTTTAGCATTATAATTACTGACTATAAAGTATTTTTAGTTTGAGCCGCTACCATGTGGTTCTACTTCATACAATAATGAGATATATTTGTGGCTTGTTTGTTGCATTTGTTGCAATTCTTTCATAACCTCACATAAGGGAAAAATAATTTTATTTTTTAATACCCATACACTGCTATGTAGAACTGTAGGTTTATGAAGAACTAGTACATGTTACCAAATACTAGGCAAAAGAGTATTTGCTTAAGGTAGTTATTCGTTCCCTAGTTCCTCCTCTATTTCAAAAATTTAAGGTGAATCAAAATGAGCTTTGTTTGGAGAATTTCAATGCAGTCTTTGATATGATTAGAAATCTTTTAGTGAAGTGTAAAATTAGAATTGGGAAACACTGATCTGAATTTTAAATCTGGTGAAACAATAACTTTCATAAAGTAAGTTTCATCGGTTCTGAAATAATCTCCCCTCTATTTTAAAATGTTAAGATGTTAGATTTCCATTGTGTATAAAATTTATTCTCTCCAATGGATAGTTGGATAGACTATGTTTTACTCAATGTTGTAAAAATTAATTTGCTCAAGTAATTATTTTGTCTGTTTATGAGCATAAAGATTGGTGTTAGAAGTTTTAAACTAATGATGTCAGGACTACAGTACAGATCCTTAAAGTTTAAAAATGTCTCTTACTTCTCTCTTTGAACAGTGAGAAATGTCTATTCACCGAGGGGTTTTCCTCCCTATCTCCCAAGACCTGGGTTTTACCCCCGATCCCCACATCCTGAAAGTAGAAGTGAATTCCCTTCAGGGCCGATTCCACCTTCAAATGAGCCTACTACTGAACATCCAGATCCACCACAAGAAACTTGACAATGTGTTCAGTCTCTTCTTCAAAAGTAATTTTGACTTATCTCTCCTTTTCAGTTTAAGTAACTACTGTTACTTAAGTGATTATACTTTTGCTCAAATTGAAGCTTAATGGAATTATAATTCTCAGGATAGTATTTTGTAAATAAAGATGATTTACATATGAATCTTATGAGTAAATTATTTCCATTTTATTTTATTCTAGGTGGCATACTTATTTTAATTTGATTAACTACTATCATATACATAATAGAGCTTTTTATATACATATACATAATCTTACAGTTTGGGGATATTTTAAATTCCAAAGACTGTGTCTTTATGCCAAGAACTCTGTTTACTACAGTTGTAGACATATGTGAAAAATAATGTTGCTTAATTAAATAAATTTTATGGTTTAAAGATTTGTTTGGCATTTATAATAATAAATTATCTAATTTTTTCCTTTAATGCATTACTTAGTTTTTTTCCTTCTATCAATAGCTGGAAGCTCAAGACTAATGCTTTAGATGGCTCTTTCTGATTCCATTATCTTACCAAAAATATACCTGCTTTCTTGCAAATAGACATAAATGACCCAAAGCAAAAAACTAATATCTTTTAAAAAAATAAGACTGGGTTATATTTTAAAGAAAAACAGCATGTTATCTAGCGGTGCCTTTCAGAATTTGGTTTTTCTTAAAGTCCTTGGTTTTCCTGTAGCTTTATAACTTGTTTGTCATCATTGGTAAGATACCGAAGGTTCTTTTTAGAGAATGTTGAGATTTACTATAGGATAAAAGTATTGAGGCTGTGTTAGACAGGGTTCTCTAGAGAGACAAAACCAGATTGCTAATAATTTTATATATTATTTATACAGATAGATAAATATAACACAAGAAATACATAGTTAAATTATAAAGGAGTACAAGTGGCTCAGTGCTGTGAGATAGTTGTCAGACACTGGCAGTCCTTCAAGTCTTGAGGGCCGCTGGGCAGTCCTCTGTAGAGCAATTCAGGCTATTTGGGCACAGGCAGCAAACAGCAAAGCAGGTCACCAACAGTCAGATGACAGGGTCTGACAGTCCCCAGCTTAAGAGATGTAAATTCCAATTGTGTGGCGTAGCAGGTCTTGTGTTAGGTGTCCCACAGGTAGTGCAGCCTGCAAATTGAGACACAGAACAAACAAGGCAGCCTGCACACTGGTCCGATGATCAAAGAGCAAGAGACAAGAAAGGCGAGGTTTATCTCTCCGCCCTTCAATTAAATCCCACGTGTGTATCGGCCAGGTTGGCACAATAAACTACCTCAGAGGCCATGTTTCATCATTTTGAATTTAATATCATTAGAGTAATTTTTCCTAAGTCAGATATGTATTCAGTAATTAGTCTTGAACATTAATATGATTATGAAAGAAAAAAGAAATTAAGTATAGCTAATAAACATCACAAGGACAGGTTTGGACATTTTTAGTTTTTTACTGGGATTTTTTTTCCTCTCACTGCCAAAAGACAAGATGGAATATTCTTGTACAAAGCAGTGATGCTTCTGTAATTGGAGCATTTCATTCCAACAATTTCCAGGTGTTTTTTCCCCCCTTTTTAAATCATTTCATTGGAGGTTCATTCAACTTTTATCACAATCTATACTTACATCCATGGTGTCAAGCACATTTGTTGCCATCATCATTCTCAAAACATTTGCTTTCTATTTGAGCCCTTAATATCAGCTCCTCAATTTTCCTCTCCCTCCCCGCCTCCCCTCTCTCACAAACCCTACATAATTTATCCATTATTATTATTTTTTCATGTCTTACACTGTCCAATGTCTCCTTCATCCACTTTTCTGTTGTCTGTCCCCCGGGAAGGGGTTATATGGAGATCCTTGTGATCTTTCTATCCCACCTTCCCCTTACTGCCTGGTATTGCTACTCTCATTATTGGTCCTGAGGGGTTTATCTGTCCTGAATTCCCTGTTTCCAGTTTT